CTGCTCGAGTCGAACTACTGAAAACTGACTAAAACTAACTACTATACTAAGTCCATTGAAAGAGTGAGTAAATTTAAATACCTGGGATCGTGGCTTTTTGAAGACTGGGCATCGGACAGGGAAGTAAAATGTCGCATTGAGCAAGCTCGATAAGCTTTCGTAAAATTCAAGAAGGTACTGACTTGTTCAGAGTTCGATCTTCAACTGAGACTAAGGTTTACTAAGTGCTATGTATGGTCAGTGCTGCTATATGGCGTAGAGGGCTGGACACTCAAAACGAGGGATATAAACAGATTAGAAGCTTTCGAAATGTGGCTTTATCGCCGTATCCTAAAAATACCATGGACAGCGAAAATCACAAATATAGATGTCCTTAAAAGAATAAACCAAGAACGCCAACTTTTCGAAACCATCAAGAAAAGGAAAACGGCGTATTTAGGTCACATCATGCGAAATGAAAATACCAGTTCCTCCAACTTATAATCGAGGGTAAAATTGAAGGCAAGAGAGGAATGGGACGCAAGAAAATGTCCTGGCTCCGAAACATAAGGCAATGGACAGGGATTAACGACATACAATCTCTGATACATATTGCAAGAAATAGAGAATTAATGGAAAATGTGATCGCTAACATCCATTAGTGGATTTGCATCTGAAGAAGAAGGGGACATTGATTCATGGGTTAAAGTTGCGCTGAGTCTTTAAAAGAAAACAATTTTTCTGCTATGCTATAAAGCTTTCTTCATCACCACGATACCTACAAATGGACATCTATTTGTTGTAAAGTAAAAGATACCGCTTAAGTCTTCTTATTAAAAAATGACACTCTTCATCGAACACATAGTGACTAGAACCTTTGTTTATATAATTCTTTTAATATAGATAAATTAAATCTTTATTACATTTTTTTACATTTTGCTGCCTTCGTAGGTTAAATCAAATATACGAAGAATTCTACCACACAATAAATAACGCAGACTACGAAAAAGACTTGAAATGGTGGTCGAACAACCACGGCGTCAATATGGCCATGAATTGGCCGCAATTCGAGGTAAGTTATTCGATTCTTTCGTGTCATGTCATGTTGCGCATGCGTAGTCGTTATTATTTTTTATTTTGTGATTGCATTTTCGTCTAGGAGTACACTGAGGAATTTCGTGACATCCACAAAGGCAAATCCAAAGATAGTTCACCGTCGGGAATCACTTTGATCCATCAGCGACCAGTGGGAGAAGATTTGCATGTATGCTTTTTTAATTATTTAAATTGGGCGAACGTTTCGAAATTTTATTTTTTTGCGTGTCAATATTTCGATCTTTTAGGAAAGACAATTGCAAATATGAAATGTGTCTTTCTAAACATATTTTTTAAATAATAAGATACGAATTACAGTTCTGTAAATGTTTACAAAGAGTATACAGTGCGTTTATTTTAAAATTAGGCTTTACTTATTAAAGTAAAGTCCTACCAGAGATCTAAGAGGGTCATTAATATGTATTATCGATAAGTGTCTACCGCAAGGCAGCGGGGGATTGCCTCTGGACAGGATCATACTTTTATTTTCGGTTGCATTACTTATACGATTGTTAGGTGTGTTTTAAAACCAGTCTTTATCGTTGTCTACTAAAGTTATAGTAGTTGCAAAAATATTTACATACAGAACAATCACATAGGTATTTACAAAACTTAATAATTTCTATAGTTTATTTTTATGAACGAGAGAGTAATTAGCATAATTTTGACTGGTATCTCCGACCACTCCATGGGCGTGCTCAAGATTAATTGAAAAATTACTTTGAATAATTGTAAAAAATAAATGAATTATTTCAGTGTTATAAAGTGTTATGTGTATGTAAACAAAAGTGACCTCTTTTTACACACAATATTAGAACTGACTGGCCTACATTAAAAAGGGTTTTAAAAAAATTCACATTTTTTTTAATTTTTAAAAATTACAAAGAGAAAAAGAGTTTTTAAAACCGTCTAAGGTATGTTAAATAGATGAATAAAAATATTAATATAAAACTTACAGCTACTTGTTACAAATCCAATCAGATTCAGAAGATGAACTTTCAGAACCAAGATTTATAATAACTGGCTCGATCATTTTATCAGTAATATTGTCCAGCTTCCACATTTTTTCCTCTTCTTTAATAGTGTGATTTACTGCCTTTTCTCAGTTTTCAGGTTTTACATTATTTACGGCCTCCAAAAACAACTGTTTAACATCATGAATTTTAAAAGTGGTATTTTTTCTTGAAACTTCACTCTTTATCTGTGCCCATACCAGTTCAATCGGGTTTAATTCACAATGATATGGTGGGGATCTAAGTACTGTCATTCCACGATTTTTGGCAATTTCATCAATTTCGTATTTTTAAAATTTTTCTTTATGAAGGGCACACAACGAATAAAGTTCCTTTCTTATAGATCCGGGATGGTACGTAATATTTTTTGAACTCAGCCAATTCTGCAAGTCTTTTTTTAACCACTTGGTTGTGGGTAGTCCTTCTGTAAGTCTGGAGTGATAACTTGCATTATCCATTACTATTACACAGTTCTTAGGAAGAAGATCTATCATTTGTTCGAACCATTCTTGAAAGACATCAGCGTTCATGTCTTCATGGTAGTCACCGGTACGAGTTGATTCAAAAGTTAATAAACCACCTTCAACAAAACCGTCTGAACTGCCAATGTGTACTATTATCAGCCTGCGTCCCTTTCCTGTTGGTGGGTTTTAAACCAGTAGATAAGTTATTTACAAAAGCGTGCCTTTGACTTGTAACAGTTTCATCCTGCCAAAATTTATTTGGTGTATGACCTCGTTGATCCATGTTTCATCAAGATAAAATATTTTTCTTTTTTGGTTTTTCATTTCCTTTATGGTTCTTAGAAAATGTCTTCTCCATAGGACAAATGTGGCTCCATGTGTTTACACGGCACTTCCAAATTTTCCATAACACTAGTATACACAATAAACTGCACCTTGCAACTGAAGTACCTACTTTTAGTGAACTGTTAAGAATTTTGAATACGCCACTTGGACGTTCCTACAAAATGGAAAAAACCACTATCACATTTTCTGTGGAATAAGTTTAGAAGGTAATTATCTAGTGAATTACTGTCGTAGATTCCTGGAATTAAAGAATTAAATGTTTGATTGTTGAAACCCTTACTTCGTGGAATGCACTCATTTCAGATAAAATAAAACGTTTTATTTTATCTAAAGAATTAAACTTTATTTTGCAAATAGGTAGGTACTTATTAAACTTTTATTGGTTATATATAACCAATAAAATAAACATCTTACATTTCTTGCAAATTCATTAGTACCTGTTAACCTCCATCACTCCGACACTGGCAACCTTATTTAGGGATTAGTAACCCTCACAAGTATTGTATTCTATTCTGCTCCAACCTTTATACCTGGTGGTCATACTCAATTTAAAATTGTTTTCCTATATACTTCTGTAAACTTGTTGACAAATATCTGTTTTTCATTGAGTCACCCGTATCAACAGTTTAGGGATTTGCATACATAATTATTGTTTTATTGATCTCTCATACATAAAAATACACTATAAATAGAGTACAAAAAGAACAAGATGCAAAAATAGTTTAGAAAACTATTCATGCTAAATTGAGTCACCGAGTATCCTGCCTTTATTTTCTCAACAACATCCACTCCGCCTTTGTTGTCTTCTTCTTCTTACGGTGCCTATCCGTTCCGGATGTTGGCGATCAACATGGCTATCCTAACTTTGCTTGCTGCTATTATGAATAGTCCGGTTGTCGATGTATTAAACCACTTTCTCAGGTTTTGAAGCCAAGATATTCTTCTTCTCCTTGGTCCTCTCTTTCCAAATACCTTGCCCTGAAGAATGAGTTGCAACAAGCCGAATCTCTGTTCATTCCTCATAACATGTCCATTCTAGTTTGCGCTCTTTAATGGTGTTAATAATCTCGCATTCCTTGCCTACTGTACGTAGGACCTCAACATTAGTCACACGATCCACCATAAATTCTTAAAATACGTCTGTAACACCACATCTCGAATGCCTCGAGTCTTCTTAAAGAAGCTTCGGAAAGTGTCCAACCCTCTACTCCGTATAATAACGTAGAAAAATACATAGCATCTAATGAGAGAGATTTTGGTAGCAAGTGATAATCGTGATTTCTGAAAAGAGACTTCATCATTATGAACGTTGATCTCGCTTTTCCTATGCGTTGTTTTATTTCAACTGGAGTGATCCCATTGGCTGTTATTGTTGGTACCAAGATATGTGTAGTTGTCACTCTGTCAATTTGATGTTGGTTAACCAAAAGCTGTGTATTTAATATTTCGCGCTTACTGACTACCATGTACTTTGTTTTCATCGTATTAAGATCAGGTCCGTGTTCTCTACTTATATCTGATATACGCGACATTATTCTTTGCAAACGTCCAGACTATCTGCAAAAACTACTGCGTCATGGCATATCTAATGTTCTTTAGACGCATTCCGTTTACTAATACGCCTTCTTGTAGTTCTTCCAGCGCTTGCTCGAAAATATATTCAGAGTATATATTAAATAACACTGGGGAGAGAATGCATCTTGCCTCATCCTCTATCTATGGAGGACTGCCTCTGTCAATTGGTCGTCCACTTTAATATTGGCTGTTTGGTTGTAATATAAATTATAGATGATTCTCAAGTCCCTATCATCTAACCCCAGTTCTTTCAGACGTTTATAAGTTTATCATGGTTTACTCTATCAAATACTTTTTTGTAGTCAATAAAACAGATATACACATCACAGTTAACATCCCTGCATCTTTGCATAAGCACTTGGACAGCCAATAGAGCCTCTCGGTTGCCAAGGAGTCGCGAAATCCAAACTGCGTCCATGATACTTGTCCTTCGCATTTTTTATATATTCTGCCGTGTATCACTTTCAAGAACGTTTTAAGTAAGTGGCTCATTTGGCTAATTGTTCTGTAGTCTTCGCATGTCTTGGCATTTACTTTTTTGGTATAGTCACGAAGATCACTTTAACCAGCTTTGGGGTATTTTTCGTTTCGTTAGATCGTTGTTGAATACAGTTGTTATCCATATTTATTCCCTGTTCATCCATAAGTTTTAGGAATTCTGCACAAAACTCGTCAGACCCTACCGCTTTACCATATTTAGTTCTTTTAATAGCTGACGTGACTTCTTCAATGGTAATCGGGGGTCCTGTTTGGCATTCAGTGTCTTCAATGGTAGCCTGTCTTTCATCTCCAAAAGTTACTTCCACATAATTCTTCCAAGTGTCTAGTTTTTCTTCCACAGTTAACAGTAGTTTGCCTTGGTTATCTGCCAAACACCCAACTCTTCTAGGTTTGTATAAGCCTGCGGCTTTTTTAACTTTTTTGTGCATATTAAATGAATCGTGATTTATATTACAATTGCTGTATTTCCGCGCTGTTTTCTTATATGTGTATCCTTAGCTATTCTAATAGCTTTTTTGATCTTTTTTTTGTAATCAGTAATAATGTCTGGCTTCATGGTATGCTCTTTGGTGTTTTCATCAATCAAACCATCGCTGTGTAGTGTTGAAAGTAGTAGTACATTCTTTTTTTTGACACATATGATACATGCCAAAATATGCCATGATATGCAAACATGCTATTACATAAAGGTCTTTCTTTTACGTTTTGTTCCCCTGTCAAGAGGGGGAATTTGTTGTTTGTTTTTACGCAAAGTACCTACCGTTGTCAGGCAATGATCGTTCATAAATAAGTAAACTTTGATAGTATACAAGGCAACTATCGAACACAGTGATTAATTAAATCTTGCCCAAGTTACTTTCGATCAATAGATCATCTTCAGGGGCATTTCGTCAGTTGTGGCCTATCCGACATGAGTAGAATGTCATAAATGTAAATTTGGCCATAACACATTTATGACATTCTACTCATGTCGGATAGGCCACAACTGACGAAATGCCCCTGAAGATGATCTATTGATCGAAAGTACTTGGGCAAGATTTAATTAATCACTGTGTTCGATAGTTCCCTTGTATACTATCAGAGTTTAATTATTCGAACATTCAACCTTATATTGACTCAATAAATAGTAGGCTAAGAGTACATAGAAACAGTAATTATCCGTAGTTACATTTCGACCGGTTCCACTTATGGGTCGGATAAGTCTTTTTACTACACTAGATGCATCGTTGGGTAGTTGATATGGTCCTTCGGGTTGTTTGCCGTGGTAAATT